AGTGTGGAGTATGAGTGTACCAGCCAGCTATGCTGTGCAATATGTCACCCCACACTTTAAATACTTAAAACCACAGCTGCACAAGTCTGCAAGTCCGTGCTGGGAGGTTCTTCTAGTTCCTATCATGAGCTGCGGTCAGACAGGTGGCTCTCCTGATCTGGGCTCGGGGTCACCTGGCTGCAGACAGGTCTGGGGTGATGTCATCCTCCAGCGGATTAGCTCAGGTTTCTAAGCGTGGCAGCAGCAGGCATCCCAAGAGAGGAGCGGAAACCTGTAAGACTTTTGGAAGCCTGAGCTTAGAACTGGCACTTCTGCATTCTGTGGTTCAAGCAGATCACAGGGCCAGTCCAGAGCGTAATGTTTTTGCGGCTCATCTGTGTTGTGACATGTCCCAGCACTTCGTTCTTTCTTCGTGGCTGAATGACATTCTGTCGTGCGGCTATAGCTCACGTTGTTGATTCATTCATCTGTCGACGGACGTTCGGTTTGTTTCCACCCTTTGACTGTTGAACGTTCCAGAACGACTTTTTGTTTGAGACCCGTTTTCCGCTCTTTGGGGATAGCTGCCTAGGAGTGGGATTGCCGGGTCACGTGATAATTCCACATTTCACTTTTCGAGGAGTGGCCACACCACTTTACATTCCCACCCGCAGCGTCTGAGGGATGCAGGGTTTCCACATCCTCTCCACTAGGGTTTCATTTGATGCTGAGGCTCGGCCGTGCTACCGTGGTCACTGGCATGTGCATTTTTAATGCAGGGACATTCAGGAGACCCAGATGAAGTATTTATCCGAGTGGGACCAGTGGAAACGGTACAGCAGCAAGTCTTGGAAGAGGTTCATAGAGAAGGCTCGCGAGATGACGACGCACCTGGAGCTGTGGCGGGAAGACATCCGCAGCATAGAAGGTACCACGCTCCACACGCTGTAGAAGCCCCCAGTGCCTGGGGGGAAAGGGCACCTCCATCTTCACCAACCTTCAGCTGAACTAGCATTTCCTTCCACGATAAATACGAATAACACCGCAGCTAGGATTAGCGGAACCTGGGTCTTTGTCACCAGGAAAATCACAGATAGTCTCCCGCCCCTTTCCAAGATGCCGTTATCTTAGAAAACCATTTCTGCTCATCACTACTTTGAAATTACAGCCGTTATTAGATCTGCCCCTAGCTCTCGTTATTTAATGTGTTAGTGAAGATGCTCATGTATTATTCTGTCACAGGTTTGGTTTTTAATATGATGATAACCACATGTTCATTTGTATTTTGTGCATCTAAAACATGATCCTGAGACGGGGTTCATTAGACATCCAGAGACTGTCACAGGTGCCCAGGGCCCTGAAGATAATAAGAATCTCTACTCTTTCATAATGGTGACAATTAGGATACAGTATTGCATTAGGAAGCTTGAGCTGCTGTGACAAAGTACTATAGACTGGGGGGCTTACACAACAGACATTCATTTTCTTAAAGTTCTGGAGACTGAGGTTTAAGATCAGGCCACCGTCTCACTGTGTCCTCACATGACCTCTTTTTTTTGTGCATTCTCAAGAAGAGGGAGAAAGAGAGAGAGGCTCTCACTGGTGCCTTTTCTTAAATGGGTATGAATCCCTTCATGAGGGACCCACCCTCATCTAAACTTCATCACCTCCCAAAGGCCCATTTCCAAATACCGTCCCATTGCGGGTTAGGGCTCCATCATATGAATTGGGGCAGGGGGACCCAATTCCTTCTATAGCAAGTATACAAGAATTGGAAGTTGTGCCAAAATATAACATTGGAAAAAAACATTCCAACATCTGGGTGACATAGCAGAGCCAAGGAGAAAAAATACCTTTTTGGAGTACAGTTTCTATCATAAAGCAAAACGATTTACAAGCACCTCCTCAAAACTGCTAAAACAAATTTTATGAAGTTTGTAAGGAATGTAGTAGGATCTATAGAAGAAATTGTCACCCCTGTTATTGCTATTTTAAGACCTAAAAAATACCACTGTGATCCATTCAATGAACTACTCTTTTTTTTTGGTGGTGGTTTAATTGGGAGAATATAAACATTTCTAAGGGGTTTCATTAGACACTTAGAACTTCAGCCACCCACTTTTGAAATTTAAGCGAACATCATGTTTGGAGTAAAATATAATAAAAGCAAACCTTTACTGAACCTTCCCTATGAACCAGGCCTTGTGTTAAACATTTTACTCGTATTAATTATCTCAGTTAATCCTCACAGGAGCCTTTCACGTAGGTATTTATCATTTGCATAGCTCAGAGAAGTTAACATACTTGTGTTCACTGGCTAGGACAAGGCGGACCCAGAATTTGAACCCAGGCCGTCACACTTTGGAGCCCGAGGTTTTAGCCGCCATGCCCAGCTTCCTCTCTTGTTAAGTGGTGGCTTTTCTGGAGAGTTTCATTCACAAAGTGCTTGTGTATTGCAAGGTCATTTCCCCTTGGGGACCTGGGACCTTGATTTTCTCTTCAGTGACTCCAGTCCTGTGATTTCTTGGCTGGCCAGGTACTCATCTGGCAGAAAAAGGAAGATGCGATAGTCTAGCTCCTTGCCTCTGGCAAGGTTGCCGGGTTTCGAGAGAAGCAAATTGTGGGTCTCTTATATCTTCACTCATAGAAGATAAGTTCTTCCCCCCGCTCCGCCCCCTGCAAGAACAAGCAGACAGCCTCACTCTTTAAGTGCTCTTTGTCTGTTCTTTGTAAATTTAATCATTATCTGGTGGAAGATCCACTTTCTATTTGAAAATCAATGAATTTAATTCATTACCTTAACAGAATAAAGGAGAAAAATTATATGATTATCTCAATAGATGCAGAAAAAGCATTGGTACAATTCAGTTCTCATTCTTAGCAAGGAAAAAATAGATGGGAATTTCTTAATCTGGCAGAAAAATATCTATAAAAATCCTTCAGCAACTCTTATACTTAGACCCATAGAACAGGATAGAGAATTCAGAAACAGATTCAGAAGATACATGTATAGTCAATTACAGAAATACTATTGTGATTCATTGGGGGAATGGATGGCCTTTTCTATAAATGGTGCTGCGTCAATTAGACACTCACATGAGAAAAGATTACTGAGTCCTCCTTCGCATTCTCAAATGGTTAATTCAAGAGTTAAGTGTAGATTTACAAGCTAAAGATTAAACCGTTAGGAAGTAGAACCTTTAAGGTTCTACCAACAGTAGAAAACAACAAATGTTTCTAATTCCTTCCGCCACCAAGATTCCTCCAACTTCAGCCCTCTGCAGCTGATTGAGTCTACGGTGGGTAGTGGGTCAATCTGCCTAGCCGATGATGTTTGGATTTTTTTTCCCCAGGGAAATTTGGCACTGGGATTCAGTCCTATTTCTCCTTCTTGCGGTTTCTCGTGTTGCTGAATTTGGTGATATTTCTCATCATCTTTATGCTGGTTTTGCTCCCCATCTTGCTCACCAAATACAAGATCACCAACAGCAGCTTTGTGCTCAATCCATCCAAAGCCGTGGGTGAGTCTAAGGCCTGGTTTGCCCAGAAGAGTGTATCGTCACTGCACACCTGGCTACCATGTTTCCTTCTGTAGGAATCTTTACGTTCTTGGTGTTGGGAGACTGTATTAGTTAGGATGGGCTAGGTTATGCTGCAGAAACAAACGACCTCATAACTCTCAGCACCTAATAACCACAGAGATTTTTTTTCTTGCTCACAGTACCTGTCCATCACTAGTTAATGGTAGCTTTGTTCCCTATTGTCTTCAGTCTGGAGCCCAAGCTGATGGAACAGCCTCTATCTGGACCATTGACTGTCACTATGTTCAAAGGAAAAAGAGCCATGACAAAGATACTGACTCCTAAAGCTTCTGCCTGGAGATGACACATGTCATTTCTGCCACATCTCAATAGCCAAAGCAAGTCACTTGGCCACTCCCGAGTTCAGCAAAGCATTTGGGAGCCGAACTGCAGGGTCAGAAAGGGGAATATTTAGCAAACATAATACAATCTCCTCCAATGTTTTTATTTTAAGACTTTCATCTCCAATAATGGTGATGCTTAGGGCTACCCTTTATTAAACACCAATCACGTGTCAATGGCCAGTGCTGGACCTGTGTTTTCTTACTGAATTCTCAACGTAAGTCAGATCTTCTGGGCATTTTGTTTATTCAAATGGGGAGAGCTTCGGTCGTTCCACAGACATTCAATGACCCTCTAGTACCAGGGTCTGTGATAGGGGGGTTAGATGTGGAGACCTCATGCTTCACCTGTCACATAACTCCTTTCCTGGAAGAACTGTCCTCTAGGATCACTTCTGTGTCCCTGAACATTTCCCCTCCTCATATTTATTTGTCTCAATTCTATCACACCCCAAAATATAATAGGAATAATGTGGAAACCTTGACTTAGTTCAGGGCACTGGCGCTCACAGAGTGCCTACTGTATGCCACATACTACATTCTCATGTTCTAATATGTGCATTTTACAGATAAATGTTACCTGCCACTATGTGAAAACGTTGGGTTCATTTTCAAGGCCCGGCTCTGCGAGTGGATTAGACTTTCTGAGCCTCCGTCTCCTTATGCATAGAATGGAAGTGCTAATTTAAATAGTGGGACAGTTATTTCATTATCAGATAGCACCTCACTAATTAATAGTCGGCTCATTAATACTTGGCTCATTAATAAAAAATAATACTTATTATTTAAACTATAAATAATTGAAAACAATACTATAAATTCTATATTGTTTAATATAGAAAATAAAAACAAAGAATTATCATTTAAGCAATACTCATAATTTAAAAATGAGTATTCAATAAGATAATAGAGTGCTTAGCGCATGGAAAGTGCTCAATAAACGGCAGCTGTTTTTTTTTGTTTTTTGTGGTTTTTTTTTTTAGTATTATGTCTTTCTAGAGGAACTGCAAGCCATTGCCTCTCTCATGTGAGTTTGGAGCCTGGACACTTAACCCATAGACCCAACTGCCTGTTCACTTCTCTCTTTGGCCATAAGCAGGGCCTCGGTCGGCGGGAAACCACCCTCTGGAGAAAATGCAGTGCGACTCTATAAGTGTGGCCACCACACAGCCCTTCTTTCTCATCACTGTTTTCTCTGATTATGTCCTCTCCCTGCACACACATGTGCTTTTTTTAGAAAACTTACCTGGTAAACGTTATCCCTTAAGAAAAGAATCGGAGTCTCCCTCTTCCTTTTCTTCACCTTTCATCCCTCCTTCATTTCAACAAGTGTTTATTGAGCACCTACTGTGTGCCAGGCCTTGAGCCAGGCACTGAGGCTACCAGAGGGAACATCACACCTGGACACAGGAGGCTGAGGGGTCCCTAAAGCTCTCTGTGAAGGCAGGGGCATTTAAGTGGAGCCCAGGAAGGCAAAGAGTAGGCAGCTGTTGAGCTCAGGGAAACGTCTTCACGCAGAGAAACAGCATCTGCAAAGGTTAAGAGCTGGGGAAAAAAACATATTAGAGAAACAAAAAGCTTGGCCATGGTGGGTTGGCAAACTTTTCCTGTAAAGGGCCAGATAGCAAATATTTTGGGCTTTGCAGGCCACACAGTCTCTGTTGCCAGGATTCAACACTGCCACAATGGCTCGAAAGTGGCCAGCGACAAATGTCATGAATGAGCGTGGCTATGTTCCTATAACTAAGTATTAACAAAACAGGTGGCTGGCCAGATTTGGCCCATGGCCCTCTAGACTTGAGGGTTGCAAGTGAGGAGTGGAGTAGCAGACATCTCGTTCCATTTTCCTGGCTCCTCTTCAACTGGGATGATTGTCTCCCTCCTCCCGTCATGGAATATCATGTCCATACAACCATTTGAGCACCTCCTAGAAACCTAAAAGCTACTTGCCTTTTTTTACCTCTTGATGGCGAGCTTTTCAAGGGCAGGAACTGCTTCTTACTCATCATTTTGTCTCCAACATCTACCTGGTGCGTAGCGACCAAGCTATGATTGTTGAATGAATAAACAAACACATGCATGTTAGAACGGTAAAACGGTAGAGCTGGGAAATCGGCCTTGAAGGAGCTAGTTCAACATTCTCACTTTAACGAAGGAGAAACTCCAGCCCAGAAAAGGAGGGATAGTTTGGATTATTTTTTCCAATTTGTCGCTCCCTCGTAATTGCGACCCTGTAGGGCCTCTCACTGTGGGTGGAGAGTGCTCCCCGCTCCGTTGATATTGCACGTGGCCACGTGGCTTGTGTTTGTCTATTGGGGTGTTAGGTTGAAATAGCTTCGTGTGGCTTCCCTTACGAGATGAGCCATGAGGAGAGCAGCTCCCAGGTGAGCCATTTCCTCTTTAGTTTGGGCCCCAGAATGGAGTCACGTGGAGCAGACCTGAGCCCAACTGGAAGCCCTGCAGTCCATCCTGGCTCAGCCTGAATCAGCCGAATGAACTCCGACTGCAGATCCATGAATGAGAAAATAAATGGCCAGTATGTTAAGTCGCTGAGACTGCGAGGTTATTTGTTACACAGCGATAGCCGACTGATAACAGAGCAAGTAAATTAGTTGTTCAAGGATAAGGTAGTGTCACTAAAGTTGGTATTCAAGTAATTTCTTGGTCAGTTATATGTATGTAAAGAGATGTATTTTTCAATGAAACTGCATGTTTATTTACACACACGTAGAAATCTTTTAAAATTGGATTACGCAAAATGGAATAACAATTATATCAATCACATATTCCAGAATATGTGTAAACATGAACCCCAAAACACGGAACACCAATATAAGCAGAAAACATGTTCTGTAAGTGGACCCACATACAAAAATGTGTAGAAAAAACATCTATCCCTAAAGGTTTGGGATGAATAAGGAAAGAGAGATGCTACCGTACTTGGTACGCTGGAGTTTGTTCTGCAGTAGAAAATCACAACTATATTAACACATCCATACACAAATATGCCCATATATATGACATATGTATGTGTGTATATGTATAATGCATGTATGCACAAAGTGTGATAGACGAGTTATAAAGACTGTAAAACTGTTTCCACTGATGGTCTTTTTTTTTTTTTTACAGATATTCAATGCACAGTATACCCGATAAGTAGCTCTGGACTGATTTACTTTTACAGTTATATCATAGACTTGCTCTCTGGCACTGTAAGTACCATAATTCTGTACTTGGGCCCTCAGTACGCTGAGGATAGGTTAATTTAAACATCGGTTTCCCAAATATCTCCAGTAAGAGCCAAACACAGTATTGACACAAGTACCAGGAAAAGAAACAGGATTTGCAGTGACTTCATCTGCAAGGATGATGTTCACTCGGCCTGCTAGAATATACGGGAAATATGCTTTGTTACTTTCAGCTACTGCCCTTTTCCTGGTCCCTGCCACCTTTGTATTGACCTGCAGCAAAAGACTGAGTTCTCCCATAGAAAGAAGTTTCAGGGGAAATAAATCCACATAGAATTTATTTCATTTCTCTGACATCGAAAACCCTTAAATGTTGGGGTCCTAGACCACCTGGATGAAAGCTGTGGCTCTTCTCTCCAGAAAGTACACATACAGACATGCGTGGTACACCTGTGCACACATATGCCCATACATATATACAACATGTGCACACACACATACGCATTCCCTGAAATCTCTTAAAAGTCTGTTCAGCCCAGGTTAACACCCCCTGCTGTCAAGTGGAATTAGTCTCATCCTTCTTATAATAGTTCCAAAAGTTTTTTTTTAATTTTCCAAAAGATGATTTCTTGTGAACTTTCATTTTCTTAATCCTTTTTTTTTTTTCAACAAATAAGATCACAGCTATGAAAAATGACCCTCTCTGCCCTCTAGATCAGAGTTTTTCTACTTGGCACTGTAGACTTTAAGGGCCCGATAATTCTGTCATGGGTGGCTGTCCTGTGTGTTGTAGGATGTTCGACAGCGTCCAGTAGCAGTTCCACAGTTGTGACAAGTGAAAATGTCTCCAGACATTGCCAAATGTTTCCTGGGGGACACAATCACCCCTGGTTGAGAACTACTCCTTTAGATGTTTCGACAATACATATGTATAAAAATATCTTTCTGAAAGTTACAGGTAGTAAAATGCCATGTCATCGAATTTCCATCTTTCTGAATAAATAAGTAGAAAGTATTGAATCTGTCTATTGGGTTTGATTCTGAAGAAGTCGTTTTTACAGCTCTGATGTTTTTCTCAAAACAGCTGAGAGGAATTGTCATGTGGGTGTTGAAATGTCCACTGTGCAAGGAGAAATTCAGTGACTCACCCAAGGTCACACCGCTAGCGAAAATCGAATGGGATCAAATCCCAGAACTGCTGTTAGCCCCATTTCTTCAGAATGCATTCCCAAAGAGATATTTGTTTGTAGCTCCCCACACATCATAACCTTCTTCCTTATACGGAAGATTTTATAGGAGACTTAAATACACTCGATCATCAATGTTCAATAAAGTATGCATGATAAAGAACAGCCCTGTCCAAAAGAGTTTTCCACAGTGACGAGAATGTTCTGGGCTTTGTGCTGTAAAATGCAGTAGTCACTAACTCTTGAGCAATTGAAGTGTGGATAGTGTGGCTAAGACTGGATTCTAATTTTATTGTCAGTAATTTAAATTTAAATAGGCCTAAGAGAGAGAGAATCAGAGACATCTAACAATGGTTTGTCTTTGCTGAAAACATTTGAGCCAAGCTCCTTATCACATCAGAAAAATCATTTTCCTGGCCCAGTGGACCTTTGCCCTGTAATGCTACATTATTTTGAGGGAGAGATTGACCGAGCTGATATCCATCTAGGGCAATATAAATAGATTTTATATCTTTGGGCAAGTTTTTATGGCCTGCGTGCCCCGCCTTTGGGAGAGTTAAAAAGAAGATGGAATATTCTGTTTCTGCATTTTTTTCTATTAAACAATTTAATCATTTACTCAGATGTCATAAAAAAACATAGAATTTATAGACTTACAAGTGGAAGTACACCTCCCTAGAGGTCACCTAACCTTTAACACTCGGGTCACGGCCTTCTCGCCCTTTCTCATGCACTTACATGGTCTTGCTTAATACGTTACGATGTGAATTTTTCACCGTCTAGCCAGGCCCTTCCTGATGGACATTCAAATTGCTTCCATTTTCCTTCTTTATAAACAATACTGTGGTGAACATCTCTGTTCTCCTTATCTCTGCTTCTGCTTTTTGCATATTTCTTTTCTCACTCCCCTGGAATTTTCCTGCCACCCAAGGAGGAATTTGAGGTGTTCGATTATTCTTTCCATAAGAAGTCAAGAGACTATTCCATGCTATGTTTTTACATAGGTCACTTTTTTCTATCTTTTTATTTATTTTTTATTTTTGCTAACAGCTTTATTGAGACGGAATTTACCTATCCTACAACTCACCCATTTAGAGTGTTCAATTCAGTGGTTTTTTATGTAAACTCACTGAGTTGTCCGAGCCTGACCGCCGTCAATTTTAGAACATTTTCATCACCTCAGAAAGACATTTAATACTGTTTAGTTATCACTTCCCAATTCCCCTGACCAGCCAGAAGCAACCATTAATCGACTTTCTGTCTCTACGAAAAGCTTATTCTGGGCATTTCATATAAACAAAATCATATAACGTGCTCTTTGGTCTCTGGCTTCTTTCGCTTGGCACGTTTTTAAGGTTGATGCATATTGTAGCATCTGTCAGTCTTCAATTCCTTGTTATGGCCAAAAAAGATACCATGCTATGGAGATACCACATTTCGTGGATCCATTTATGATGGATATTTGGGTTGTTTCCATCTTTCGGCTATTATGGATAATGCTACAATGAACATTCACGTATATGTTTTCATGTGGAAATATATATTCACTTCTTCGGGAGTATATACCTAGGAGTGAAATCACTGAGTCAGATGATAACTCTGTTCAACTTTTTGAGGAACAGCCAGACTTTTGCAAAGTGACCGCAGCATGTTACACCCTCACCAGCACTGTGTGAGGTTTCTGATGGCTCCGTATACTTATCCACACTTGCTATTACCCGACTCTGACCATTTGTATATTTTCTTGGAATAAATATCTATTTTTATCCTCTTTCCATTTTTTAAAACCTGGATTATCTTTTTTATTATTGAGTTAAAATAGTTCTTTATCTATTCGAGACACAAGACCTTATCAGATAGATGATTTACAATATTTTTCTCCCATTCTTTGCATTGGCTTTCACTTTCTTCAGAGTGTCTTTTGAAGCACACGAGCTTTCGATTTTGATGAAGTCCAATTTATTTTTGCTTTTATTGCTTGTGCTTTTGGAGTCACATCTGAGAATCCGTTGTCAGATCCAAGGTCGTGAAGACTCAGCCCTCTGTTTTCTTCTAAGAGTTGTATAGCTTTGGTTCTTACACTTACGTCTTTGATCTATTTTAAGTTTACCTTTGTATATGATGCAAAGGTAAGGGTTCAAGCGCTTTTTCTTTCTTTCTTTCTTTCTTTCTTTCTTTCTTTCTTTCTTTCTTTCTTTCTTTCTTTCTCCTTCCTCCTTCCTTCTTTCCTTCCTTCCTTCCTTCTTCCTTCCTTCCTTCCTCCTTCCTTCCTTCCTTCCTTCCTTCTTTCTTCCTTCCTTCCTTCCTTCCTTCCTTCCTTCCTTTTTTTTAGCATGTGGCTGTCTGGTTGCCCTAGAACCATTTCTTGAAAAGACTATTCTTTTACCTTAGTAAAAATCACTTAACCCTAGATGTATGGGTTCATTTTTGGACTCAATTCTTTTCTATGGACTTATATGTCTGTTCTTCTGCTAGTTGTTTTGTAGTAAGTTTTGAAATTGGGATATGCGAGTCCTCCAACTTTGTTCTTCTTTTTCAAGGTCGTTTTGGCTATTCTGGGTCCCTTGCAATTCCATATGAATTTTAGGATTAGCTTGTCAGTTTTTACAAAGATGCCAGCTGGGATTCTGATAGGGATGTATTAAATCTATAGATCAATTTAGGGATTATTGCCATGGATATTTTTATTCATGAACATGGGATGTCTTTCCATTTATTTAGATTTTTAATTTTTTAAACAATGTTATATAGCTTTAAGAATATAGAATTTACATTTCATTTATTAAATTTATTCCTAAGTATGTTGTTCTTTTTGATGTTATTACACATGAAATTGTTTACTTAATTTTTTTTTTTTGGATCATATACCTGTGTATTTTTAATGCTCAGGTTTTATCTGTGTTTTATTCCCTGAACACCAACTGAGCATCCCTTATACCTCTGGAGTTGTTCCAGTATCTGGGGATTCGGGGATGAATAATGTCACCAGAATGTGAGTTCTTGAGGCAGAGGCTGGTTTCCTGGTTTCCTGCAGAGAACTCACCAATCTGACCTCATGCCGTTGGCTTCATTTCAGGGTTTCTTGGAGGAGACTTGCCTCTTTTATGGACATTACACCATTGACGGGGTGAAATTTCAGAACTTCACCTACGATTTGCCTCTGGCTTATTTGTTAAGCACAATTGCCTACCTGGCCCTGAGTCTTCTTTGGATAGTGAAAAGGTAAAGTTTTATCTTATCATTGTGTTTTATTTGAATAACCCTGATGGCTGGAGTTTTTTGGAGATCATGGACTGTGAGAGCCATTGCCCAAAGGATGAGCAGAGTCCAGGATTGGGCTTTGTGGGGAAAATATTTGTGAGTGTGTTGGAGGCTGTGGGGATTTGGAGGCAAGATATGGGAGCTGGAGCAGCACCTTGCCATTCTTTACTCAATCATTATTACATACATTCGCCAATGCCCTTCCCCCAACCTTTCTTTGATCTGGTGGGTATTCTAACCAGGTCTCTCTTGCGTTGTGTATGGCAGAAACCCAACTCCGACTAACTGGGGCAAAGGGGAATTGAGTGGCTCAGAGCACCAAAGAAGGGAAGAAACTTGAATTACAGATATGACTTCGAAACACCCAAAAGCAAGAGCTTCTTTATGTCTGATTCTCTTGGTGGCAGCTTCCTTACGTGGACCCTCTGGGTCACGAGTGCAGAAATCCTCTGAAAAGACTTGTTGGTTCTGCTTCATTCGGATACCCAACCCTGACCCTCCAACCGTGGCCACTGGGTTTGGGTCACATGAGAACATAGCATTTTCCATGGTAGACAGTGGTTTAGTGAGAAATGCTAGTTCCCAAGAAGAGAAAGCGAGGGATATTAATTTCTTTAATTACTAACGAACAACTTCCCAAAAGGTACAACCACCCAAACACAATAGAAGTTGTATATCTCTCTTGCATGAAGTTCTGAGTCAGGCATAGGTTACCGTGGTAGATTCCTTCTCAGGCATTCTGGGACTCCAGGTGGCCAAAGTTTAGCCATCTCCAGCATGTGGCTTTGAAGTTCCTCTCAAGGGCTGGGAGGGAGAAAATGACCATGGAGGAGTATCATGTGGACAGTGTTCGTGGGCTAGTGATATGCATCACTCCTGTTCCATTGGCTACAGCTAGTCACGTGACCATAGCTAACTGCAAGAGAGGCTGGGAAATGTCCCTGGCTAGCAGCCACTTCCCAGCACTAACACTATATTGTGGAAGGGGAAACACACATTTCCAATGGACGGCTTGGTGTCTTTGTCCCAAGGGGGTTGCTTGGCAGCCAGGGTCATGATGGGCACCTCTCTTACTCACTTTATTGTCCATGTGAGGGCTTGAGCAGTGCTACAAGCCAGGCATAGAAGAGACCAGGATGTTGGGGGTCCGAGTTTGCCCTCCGTGGGTCCACCACTGCAGAGAAAGCCCTAGTGTCCAGCTGGACACTCATATCCTGAGTCAGAAGCTGTAAGATGAAAATCGCCTGGTGTGTGTCCATTTCCCACCCAAATGGGCAGCGTATGGACAAGAAGGAGCAGTGGCTCATTTGGAGGGGCAGAGAGATGCTTGGGAAAGAAATATTGACCGATTGGGGTTCTGGCTTTGCTGCTCTGTGATGATGGCAGGGGCAGATGCAAGTGTTATGGACCCGCAGTTCAGACCATTTGGAAGGGCCCTCTTTAAGACAAAGAATAGAAAAATATCTTTGGAAAACTGTGAAAAAGTAAGAACACGATCACAGGAACACATGGCTAGAGGTGCTGCCGGGGCCTTGGAAGGGGCCCTGACAAGGAGATAAGCTTTATTAGCCAAAGAGTGAATCCATCTCCAGATCTTGCTTATGCTCCTCGCCCCAGGGCCTTGGTTGGTTTGGGGGGAAGATTGGAGAGAGGGCTGGCGTGACATAATGGGGAGATGCCTGCCGGGAGGACTAAGTGCTACAGAGGTGCAAAGAACAGGGACTTTGGGGTCCAGAGACCAAGGTTTGAATGGGACTTTACCTCTTTAAATCTCATTTTCTTCATCTATGAAATGTACACACCTGGTTGATGGGAAGATTCACTGAAACAAAGCAGGTAAAGAACTTGGCACTGGGCTTGGCACCTGGCAAAATTAATTAAAATTTAAATTAAATTAAATTAAAATTATCATCATCATCATCATCATCATCATCATCAAATTTGCCCCAGTCCTGACTCTTGGATTCTAGGGAAATAATTTTCTCTTCTCTGGACATTAGCTTTCTCTTCTGTTCAATGTGTGTTTGGTCTAAATTAGAGGTTTTCAGCTGGGATGGGGTCTCAGAATCACCATGGAACTTTATAAAATAACACATTTATGGACCCCACTTGAGACCAACTGAATTAAAAATCTCAGGGTCTGCAAACACCTGGGAGTCTGCATTTTAGAAAAGCATCCTTGGTGGTTCTGATATAAATTCTTTGCTGTGAACTTTTGGCAGAATGCCTGATCGCTATAATTCCTTCCACTTCTTATTGCCTTTCCAACTCACTGGCAAATCCTGAAAACACCCTCTTTGATCTACAGTGTGTGGCATTTGATGGATTTGTATCATCAAGTGCCAGGGTGTATTTTTTCCCTGAAAGCATTTGAATAAATAACAATTATGAAGTATACAACAGAGTTGTGTCTGACCTGAACAGGTGCTCACTAAATATTTGGTTAATTTACTATTTAAGTCATTTATTCATTCATGTATCCGTCAGTTGGATAGATTGGCTAGTGACCATATTATGGTCCAAGCATTCTAGACATAAATGTGGCAGGGCAGCCTGGGTAACTGTCCACAAGGAATCTAAAATTGAGTCCAAGTAAAAGGCTATACGCAATAAACAGATAAATAAGATAATTGTAGACTAGGTTCATTTCCATGAAGGAAATGAAAGAGACTAACTTGAAGTGGGAGTTGCATCTTTAGAGGGGTGGTGGAGGGGAAATTTGAGCCCAAATCTGAAAGATGGGAACGAGGCAGCCATAGCAAGAGGCAGGGGAAGAACCTTCCCGGGAGAGGGTAGCAGGAACTGTAGGTGCAAAGGCCCTGAGGCAGGAGCAGGGGTTTGTATGTTTATGAAAAGGAAAAAAAAATCCAATGTAGCAACAGCTACATAGAGTGGTCATATGGGAGGAGGGGCATCATGCAGGACCTCCAGGCGGTGTTAAAGAGTTCGGATTTTATTCCAGCTGTGAAGGGAGCCATTGGATAGATGGAAGGAAACGATTTTCAACAATGAGATGTCCAGTTAGCTGCCACGTATATTTAGGATGGTCCAAAACTTGGCCGTGTCAAAATGGGCGGCGAATGCAGCCATGTGTAATTGTTTTGTTCTAGACAAAGCCCATCCGTGGGCCTGAATTTCGTTGTGGTTCTTATACGAAGCATAATTGTGTTTCGGGGTCAGGTCAGTGGAAGGGTTCAAAATCAACCTGATCCGGAGTGAGGAACACTTCCAGAGTTACTGCAACAAGATCTTTGCTGGCTGGGATTTCTGTATCACCAACCGCAGCATGGCGGACCTGAAGCATAGCAGCCTGCGGTACGAGCTCCGAGTGAGTGCTGATGAGTTTTCTCTTGGTGGCTTCCTTGTAGCTTGCAGAGGAGCTAGGTGGGGGCCAGGTTGTCCCCAGCGCTTAGCAAGTTTCCTCTTTCTAGTTTTTGCAGAAAACAGCTTCCTGAGTTTGATCACCTTGGGCCCGAAGATGGAGCTGGTGAACTTGGGTTGGGAAGGGAGATGGGGACATGGCCGTAGGTGCGAGGACATGGTGCCTTCCTTCCATCCCTGTTATTTCTCTACTTCATGAGAACCCGTCACAAACATCGCTTACGCCAAGAGAAATACGACTAAGGACGGAATGCTCTCTATGAGTGGAGAGGATATAAAAAAGTAGAAGAAAATTTCTGAATGAATAAGGAGGAAAGGAGTAATAAATAGCATCACGATTGAACCTACCAGAAAAAGGGAGGAGGGGACAATTATATCAAAGCTTAATAAAATAAGACGGAAGAAATCAAATCAAATGTGTTTTCTGTTACACTAAATATGCACAGATTGAATTCTCCTATTAAAGCAGAGACTACCAGGTTGGGTTAAAAAAAAAGCCACCCACCTATATATACTGTTTAAAGAAATAACGCATATAATATATCGGTAATGTCATAAATAGGTTATATTTATATTTTCACAGTTATTGCAAAGTGTGATTGGATTCTTAGATAAAGGATCCTTTCTTGACTTAGGACTTTAGTAGAAACAAAAACTGCCTGAGCTTGATGTGGGAAGGTATGTTGGGGGAGATGAATATTTAAGGAAAGTCTTCCTACCATGTGCAATGATATAGGTGGACCTAGAGGTTACTATGCTGAGTGAAATAAGTCAGACAGAGAAGGTAAATATCATATGATTTCACTTATATTCAGAATCTAAGGAACAAAAAGAACAAACTAATCAAAAACAGATTCACAAATATAGTGGACAATTTGGTGACAGACAGAGAGGGGCAGGGGGATTTCAGGGGCTGGGAGAATGGGGTGAAGGGCTAAAGAAGTACAAATGAGTAGCTGATGGATGGTCACGGGGATGGGGAGCACGGCATAGGAAATGCAGGGAGCATTAATACGCTGGCGAAGTGGGGGGTCAGGGGAGCAATTAGGGAGATTGTTTTATGAACTATATAGATGTCTAACCAATGTACTGAAACTAATTTCAATAACTAAATTTATTAAAATAATAAGAAAAATATTTAAGGAAAGTCTTAAAGATGGAGAGGAAGGGAACGATGATGAATCAGAGGTTCCACCTCTAAATATCCCTTTACCCCCATGCTCACTAATTAAGTTTTCTTTGGTCCTCAGGCAGATCTGGAAGAAGAAAGAATACGACAGAAAATAGCAGACAGGACCTCAGAAGAAACTATACGAATTTACTCTTTGAGACTGTTTTTGAACTGTATCGTTCTGGCTGTTTTAGCAGCATGTTTTTATGCAATCTATAGGGCAACTATATTCTCGCAAGAACACATGAAAAAAGTAAGGACTCGGTGAAAGTCAGTTCACTTTTACTCTGGTTGGACCTTATGCTAAGTGTCTTGTAAACCTCTGAGGCAGATGCCATCCATCGCCTCTAGTTTACATAGGGGGATATAAACTGAGGTGATATGACAGAGAACCGAAAATCAGAGGTGACCAATTTCCACTTCATGGAACTAAAAAAACATCCCAAATAGAGTATTTAGGATACTCATTCATTCTAGAATTCACGATATTCAAATCCAGCTGGACTGCCCGATGCAATCCCCAACTCCTCTGCTTACTAGTTGGGGCCTCAGTTTACCTAAAATAACAGCGTTTTTAAAAACTCTAATTGGTCTAGTGGTTCCGCTTCATGAAATCAATCATCATGGGCTCAGGTTCCTTCCATCTTGTGGCTCTGCCATCCTTAGGATGTAGAACTCTTCTGTATGGTACTTGATAACTTGATAACTCACGGCCACATTTTAGCTAGTGGGAAGGCGATGGGGAGGGCACACCCCTTTCCTTCAAGGTCATGACTTCCACTCACATCCCTAGTCAGATGGCTGTACCTAGCTACAAGGGAGGGCAGAAATTTTAGTTTTATACTGGATAGCTATACTTGTGGCTAACTAGTCTATTATGAAAGAAGGAGAGAATGGCTTTTCTAAGTCAGTTAGAATTACAGCCTTGAAAATACTTTACACTGACTATTGATGCAGAATACATGGATTTTCTTTTTATACCTCACCCAAATTAATCCAATAGAGCTCATTTTTTTCTAGTAAGATACTCAGTCATGTTTCCTCTGTTCGAACACCCAAGGAAGGAGATGGCTTATAATTAGGAGCTATGCTGAATGATTTGTAAACCTCTCAAGTGGATGCCATCATCACTTCTATTTTGTTTCATTTTATTTTTTTGCTAATAAACATGTATAATTGAGTGCTTTTTTCCCTTCCAGTTTCATGGGGTATAATGGACATATAACACTGCATAGGCTTACGGTATATAGCGTAATGACTTGACTTATGTAGAGTTGAGTTCTTTTAAGGTCTACTCACTTGTGATGTAACTTTCCTTATTATACTCCTGACCAGTTTTGTTACCTTCATAGGAAATCGACAAGATGGTTTTTGGAGAGAACCTCTTGATATTGTACCTGCCTTCCATTGTGATCACCTTGGCCAATTTTATCACCCCAATGATCTTTGCCAAGATCATCCACTATGAGGATTATTCCCCAGGCTTTGAGATCCGGCTGACCATCCTCAGGTAATGCCTAGACATGCCAAGAGGATCACCACGTGCTTGCTCCCTTGCCCTTGGCAGACATC